TCCTTAAAAGTACAAAATACACTTTATTCCCTCTAATGTATATTTTATTTATCATGATTTATTCATCATCATTTTTATCATATTACTGCTACCTGTATCGGTTACACATGTGTTGACCAGCGCTTGTGTTACCAAAAACAAGGGTGCAAAGCAATTAACAATTAAAGCTGCAAGCAGCGGTTGAGCGGGACCTCGCACTCCGCGCAACTTCGGTGCGTGCTGCGGCCGCGGCTTGTCACTGTGCCGTCGTTCACAAGTATGGACCACAACATGAAAAATTTCACGTAAATAGCTCAAAATCGCCACGCAGGCTTAACTTCCTGTTGCCAGTTAGGTGGGCGCTATCCACTTATGTCTGAAATTTCATTTAGATGTGTTTCATGGCGGAGGGTCTTCTTATCAAACACTTGAAGTTTCATTGAGATTGGACCAGTACGCTGAAGTTATTTAACTTTCAATCTGATCACATTATGCATGTTTCATGGGCGGGACTCTTATCAGACAAGTGAAGTTTGGAGCTGATTGGACAATGTACACTTAAAGTTTATAGCGAATTCGTGTTTTGTGGCAATCATCAAGATTTCCCGCACCGCCACAGACAGCCCCCTTCACCACAGTCAACCACATATCATCAACAATGTGTTTTGCATATTATAAGTAATTTCAAGCTGGATCTGATCATCCTGCTAGGAGTAGAACATGAAAGTATAAAAACGTGATACTTCTGTTCCCACTAGTTGGCGCTCTCACTATTACTGAATATTATCACATAGACGTGGTTCAGGGCGGGACTCTTATCAAACATGTGAAGTTTGGTTGCAGTCGGATCATCGTATGCAGAAGTTATGACGAATTCCCTCTTTTTATGGCGAGGGATCAAAATTGGACGTCATGGGACCGCCACGCCATTGATCCACGGTGTCAACCGGAAATAACGTGAGTGTCAGTCAGCACCATGTTTTGACGGGGTCGAGCGTGTTATTTCCCCGGCCTATGTTCCCCCGGGTCCTATTGTTCCCCGCTTTGTATAGGCCCGGGGAACCCTAACCCTAACCCTAACCATACCTTTAGCGGGGAACATAGGACCCGGGGAACATGGGATGACCCCGTTTTGCTGTACTGTCCAAATCTGAAGTCGATCCGATAAATTTCCCTGGGAGGAGTTTGTTCAAATACAACGCGTGCAAATCGCCAGAAATGACGGCTACAATCCAAAATGGCCGATTCCTGTTGGGTTTCGGTATGGGTTCAAGAGGCTTTTCTGTTCTTCTTATCAACGATACACATTGCGTACCGATTTACATTACATGTCAGCCATACGCGTCTTGAGGTGATTCGGGGGGGCAGGCGCTCGCCATTCTGTGGCGCCCGTGCACGGGGAACAATTGCATTATTGGTATTTTTCACTATGTTTGAATTTTGTGCAATTTCCATACTTTCGAGCATGTTGCGCCGCCAACCAAATATGCAGTCGAAGGGGCAGAAAAATAATAAGAATTCCTACAGGAACAATAGGGTCCTTGCACTGGTCAGTGCTCGGTCCCTAAAAATGTTATAAATGTCATTATATTGCCATAATAAACCATGTAACTTATTATCAAAGTGGATGAATGCAATAGGGTGTAATCAGTAGTACTCAAGTACTTAAGTACAATTTTGAGGTATTTGTGTTTTCTGCTACTATGTTACATTTATTTGATAACTTATTTTACTTTGTAGATTTAGATTAATAATATAATATATAATAAACAAATAAATTATGACTTTATTGATATACTTATATATATACTTATACTTTATTGATCCTGATGGGAAGTTCGCAATACACCTTGCAGTATATAAAGTAGTTAAAACCAACCCCACTTTTCTCAGCTCCAGCAATAATTATAATCCAATAACATAATTATTCTGAAATGAGCCATTCTGCATAATAAATACTTTTACTTACATACTTTTTTAGTATAGTATATTTTGATGCTTATACCTTTGTATATACACTTCAGTAAAGTGTAAAATGCAAGACTTTTATTTCTAACTACAATGTGGTATTGCTACTTTACAAAAAAAGTACATCCTCTGCCACTAGGTGTTACTATTTGATGGGGTTGCTTATGTTCACAGAGGAGTAAAAATCTTAAATGGAAAAAAAAAATCCTGGATGTTGAAAGAGTTTCGTTCAGTGTGTTGTTCAGAAGGGGAGAAATAGGTCATGTGTAGTAATGTTCCTAGTGCCGAATTAACAGGCTGCTCAGCTGTACCTTAGCACATCACATGCTGAAACACAGAGGGAAAATTTGACTATTCAAAACAGGAAAAAGTTGGTATCAGTGGTTTAGAGGCTGGAGTCGAATACCAGACAGAAGGGACTTTCCTTCCCATCACATCCAATTTCTGTTCAACAGATTCACATGCAACTCTGACGTACGAGTGGTCACTAATAAGTTGTTGCAAAATTATATCAAAATGAAAAAAAACAAAGATGGTTTTAACAAATGAAGATGAAACTCTTCCGTTTTTTGAACAATGTGCTTATGTTGTCTTAAACGCATTGGTCTTCTTATGATTTGATGTTAATTTGTGTTTACTTGAATTTCTACTTTTATGTCTCTAAGTATTAAAACATTTGATGATCATCTTAGTCACTGTTAAGTCTAACCAGGATGAATTAGACCCACATAATGTTTCACAGGGAAAATCTTTATTACCTATTATTTGTTATTGAAATCATGTTAGTAGATCTAAAAACAAAACAGTTGCATTCATAAAATCATCCTAATACATTTTATTCTCTCATTATTGGCAAATGTTAATACAACAAAAGACATGTTATATAAAAGCGTAAACCTTTGTAGAAAATGTCAAAACAAAGCCACATAATGTGCAGTGATAGAGATGAAACAACTAAAATCACTCATATATAACTCTATATATACTATATAAACTATACATCTTTCTCTCACTCTTTTTAATATTCCACTCCGCCATGTTGACCTTGCTTTGGAGCCCATTTTGCTCGGCCACACAATGTTTCACATCTGTGACTCTGTCTGTGTCTGTATTTTATAATAATAGCAAGAAAATTATTATTGCCCCAGAAAAGAAGCCATTTAAAACTCAGTTCAGTTGAAACAGTGTCCCTATTTGCTTTACATTAATTGACAGTATGATACCTGTTATGTACACAATGATCAGCACAAATACATTGACAATGTAAATGTTATAACTAATAATAAATACATATGGGATAAAGTCTCATTACTGAACTAATCGCATCGATCAAATTTCTGAATTTCTCTTACAATATTTGGTCTCTTCTTAAATTTAATGTTACCCTTCGCTCACTTTAGACAAAATTGTAAACAGGACCATCAAAAATCTGTATAGAGCTTCCAGATCTATGATATCAAAAAACCTGCCTGCATATTTACATACATTTATGGTCCTAAATATCCAGAAAAACACCTGGTTTGGGAAGTGTACAATTGGTTCCAGTTAAACCAATTTATTAGGATCTAGCTACCTTTCTGTACACTTTTCCTGAAATTGTACAAATAAGCAGGATACATGTGAATATAAAGTATCCTTTCTGATCCTTCTGCTCTTCCCTCAAACATAGTCCCTCCTGTTGTAGGAGCTTTGAGCGATTGACCTCGGTGCAGCGGAGTATGCTATACGACTCTGGGGCTGCACGCTGTACCTCGTTGGTTTCTCTTCCTGTGGCGGACAACTGCAACAGAGGATGCACCCCCCAATGAGCAGGAAGGCCGCGGCAGCCCAGCCCAGATACAGCGCTGCCCCGATCTCCATCTTCTGACCAGAGGGGATGAGTGGACTGTAAAACTCAATGACGATGGTGTGTGCTGACCAGGAAACAGGCACCAGCTGGGCCAGAGCTGCGGTGATGAATGCCCCGCCTGAGGAAGCCATCACCCTGGCTTTAACCCCGTCATCATCGATGCAGTTGGTGCACTTTGCTCCCACCATAGAGATGAGGAGAGCCACAACCCCCACAATGATAGACACAATGGTGAGTGCCCTGGCGGCCTGCAGGTCCGGAGGTAAAGCCAGCATGGAGTCGTAGACCTTACACTGCATCTGGCCCGTGCTCTGGAACACGCAGCTCATCCACAGGCCTTCCCAGTACACCTGAGCTGTGACAATGTTGGCGCCAATGAATGCGGAGACCCGCCACATCGGCAAGGCACAGCTGATAATACTCAGCACCCAGCCGAGCACTGACAGAGTGACCCCGGTCAATTCAAGTCCAAAAGACACCATTGTGCGGCAAGACAGGCGTCCCCTCTTTGGATCGAAAGTTCCTTTATTTGTCCTTCCTCTCCTCCTGGTCCTTTTCCCCCTTTATTGTCTTTTCTTTATTGTCCTTGCTTCCCTTGCCTCCGTTTACTTTCCAGCAAATATTCTTAAGGCCTTCCTGATTTTGCCCTTCGAGCTCCTCTTTGTCAGCTCTTCACTCCGCCAGGTAAGCCTCCTCCTTAAGCTGTAGCTACTGCACTGGCTGCTGAATCCAGGAGTATCGATTGATTGACCGTGTGCTTCCTCCACAAACTCTCTGCTGCGTGTACGTGCCAGCATAAATGTTGCCTTCCTTCTGTTGCTCGTAAGGAGTTGATGACCCTTATCTGTGTATCTTTTTATTATCGAGTGGTCAGGCCCTCCTAAGAGATGACATCATCGGCTAAACCAAGCCAATCAGGTGAGTCCTGGGCATTGGCCTCGTTTACCACCTGGGTGTGTTGGTGTTCGTTTGTGTGCTTTTTCAAATTTTTATGGTTTAACCTTTTGCCCATGGTAGCTCTAGGTGTGTTTGCTTTATTGCTGTCGAGAGGTAATGAGTGGCCAAGGCAGAACTTGTTATGTGGTTGATAGGTGACCACAAGAGACTGTAACGGATATACAAACAAGTATTCTCGATGTGTATGTGTTTAAGTGTGTGCATGTATCCAGTGTGTGTGTTTGCATAGAGTGGAATTGTGTTTGAGAGAGACAAGGGAATAGAAAAAAGGAAACTTTAGCACATATTAAAATCTTAGCAGGCTTTTTCTGTCTGTTTCTGTTCTCATTTTCAAAAAAAGTTTTGTTGTGATGTGTCATGTTTTTATAGCCTTGACTGAACCCTGATGTTACATTTGTTTTAATAGCAGAAACTTGTACCATCTCAACTAGGTTACACAGTCTATGGGTAATCATACAATAAAATTCCAGTTAATGGCAAACTAGAAATGCTAAGAATATATTTTATAGATATGTATAGGTCTTTGGTCTTCTGTGAACTAACTGCAATGTTTTTATTGCTCAGAACATTTTAGTTTCTGTTCTGTTTGGGGCACAAACTACAGTATACATGAACAGTGTGATAAATACAATACCACGAAAAGACTAACAACATGTTAGTCGTCCCTTCCCTGTTTGTGGCGCACAGCTCTAACCCTTTTGGTACATACTGAAGAAATACTAAATATTTATAAAAAGGGGTCACAGATATATAGTTCATTTTAAAAAGTGCTCAGTCATTTCCCATTACTCAAACTGGAATAGGAATAGGAAAACTATATTTGTTAGGGACTATTTCCAGCTGTGGATTAATTCACATTTGGTGCACTAGTCAGTATTTATAGCAGCACAAACATGTGTGTAGGATTGACTCAAAATTAACTGTAATAAAGGAACATGTCACCCAGTGCAACGATGTGCCTCTTTAATAAATTCTGGACAACAAAGGTTTGGATAATGACATGGATTCTGGTTTCTCACTTGAACCAGGTCTGAATTACTCTGTGGGTTCATGCAATGTATGCCTGCAAAGATTTATACAGTGCCACTATCAGACTCTGACACACTTTTATCTTGTATATGTGTACACATTATCACACTTCTATATTAGTCAAACACATGCTGCTAAAGAATTGGCTCACCCCTGTAACCACAATAAGATAAAGCCTGATAAAAAGCAATTAACTGATATTATCTTGGTATTTAGGAAGGAAACAAACAATCTAACAACAATTCAAATCATATCTGACTGTTAGTACAATCAAATTATTTGTTTGCATGCTTAAACAAGAAATACTTAATGGTGGAGTCGCTGCTCAACAGCACCACTGCAGCGTGTTCTCCAGTTGTGTGTTGTGCAGTGACAAAGATACAGCTCCGATATCTTATTATAGAACTGTTGTAGCGCGTTTATGTTGTAACGTTTTTTTTATTTGCACACAGCAAAAGTAGGATTCATTTGGAGTCATGTTTTTTCACTAGCTGACTTGTCCAGTGTTCACTCTTCTTTTATCTCTTTTTTGGTTTCCACCGACTACTGATAAATGCTCCACTGCACTTAGCAGCTAGTTGCTAACTTTGTCAGTCTGCTCTTTGGTGCTGGGCAGGTAGAGTACAGCAGGTTCATCAGCTTCTTGCTGAAAACAG